ATAAAACATGTACCCGATATAAGTATTAATAAAAAGCTCGGACCAAAGAGGTCACCTTAATACCGAAAAAAAAAAAAAAAAAATTAGTAATATGTTTTTTTTTATATAAAAAAATCTATTTGCTAAGAAAATTATATAACAAATAATCTACATTACTCCTATACTTAAATAAAAATATCACTTAAAGATAAAGACTTTAACTTAAAAAATTATAATAATAATATAAAATATCAGAATATGATAACTTAGTGAAGTAAATAAGTTGTTAACCTTTAAGTAGCAGTTTATAAGTTTAAAATTTATGGATTGCAAAATTTGGATTTTTTATTTATATTATAATAACTGTTTCTAATAATTAAATTAAATAAGAATATGACAAGTTAGTGAAGTAGATAAGTTGTTATTCTTCTAAGTAATTTCAAAACACATCAATATCAAAAATTTGGATAATTACCTATATAATATATAAATGATATTATAGTAACAACATTCTATTAATTAGTTAGAATAAGATATCTGTAACTATAGTCACATTAGCATGACTAGCAGGTTATAAGATATATATATAACTAGTTATATAAAGAATAATAGGTAATGTAAACTTAAGATAAATTCTTGTATTTGTATAAATTTATAGAACTTAGAGGCTAGAGTTTACTTAAAAAAAATAAGTAAAAAGATAGCAACAGTATTACTATAAAGACTAGACCTAGAAAATGAATACTAATATACAGAAATTAGACAAATAGAAATTTTAAATAAAAGATACTATTAATTAGACTATCAGAAGTCTTAAACTAAAAGAAAAGAATATCAAATATTATAACTCTGATAATTAATAACAGGTTACAATTCTTTTAGACTATCTGAATTAAAAGTCTAATGCCAAAAGCAATGTATATTTTTCAACAAAGAACTGATAACAACTTTTATCAAAATTTTGTAAAGTATCTGTATACTTCAAAACAGTTAAATATGTTTTATCAAAATGCTTTATATAATTTTTAGAGGTATTTGTAAAGTTTATCAAAATTGTAGTTTTTATCTTATTATTAAATTTTTAAAAGTAGTATTAATATATATTAATTAACTTCATTAAATTATGAAGTAACTGATTATCATCTTTTAAGAAGCTTCATTACTATCTGAAAGCTCAATTTATCAGTTCTATATGATTTGATACATTGTGACAGAGTTCATGATCTGTATAATAACAATATTTTGATATGTGAGTATAAATATTATAGTTCTTGATTACAAAAACTTTACTTTAGATGTTTTATTTGCTTAGATTATCTTCAATATAAGCTTAACAAGAATGTCAATATGCTAATAGTAAGTATAACCAATAAATTGATTAAAACCAAATCAATAAATAAAAATAAAAATATGATTGATAATAAGATTTTAGATGATATAGATAAAATAATAGACAATTCAGTAGAAGTAAAAGAATTATTAAACTATATAAAGCTTACATTTCAATGATTACAATAAAAAAAAAATTTATTAATAAATTTTACTATTTGCTAAGAAATTACATTATTACATAATTCATGTCTAATTATAATCAAATTAATTTACAGATGTTTTTATAAATTTTGAAACATCTGCCAAAAAAATTGATTAAATGATTATTTGGCAATTTAATAAGTTTTTTTATTCGGCAGTGATAAACTTTAGTTTGAGACATGATTAGTTTTTATATATAATGATATATGATTCGTTTGGTGTGTTTGGTTTATATGATAATTTATAGTGAATATTCTTTTTCCAACCAATAGATTTTAACAAGACAAAAAAAGGTTCCTAGTATAAACTTTCTTAAGAAATACATTACACAAATAGGAGCTAATAAAAAAACTGTTCAATATGAACAAAAATTTATTGACTGGATTAAAAAAATATATAATTCTAAATGATGGTAAAAAAAAAAGAAGCAAACATTGTTTCATTAACTTAAAACAGGTAAGATTTAAAATATATTTAACATTATAATCAGCACCTATTTTTTAATTACTTAATAAAAAAACCTTTGCATCTTACTAATTAAACAAATACAAATACCAATCGAGCTTTTTATTCATTAAAGTTTTATATCATCCAAATTTAATAAACATGGTCCTTTTAAAAGTGCTGGAAGCTTTTCTACACACTCCTATCTTCGAGAATGTTTAAGAATTTGACTTGCTGACACCTAGATGCCTGCAGTTACCCGAACTGCAAGGTTTTTCAAATATTTTTCAGCAAATTTCAGACAGATATATTTTGAAAATGTCATTAGCAAAGATAAAAATAATAATATACATTATACAGCTATGATATATACACATTATTATGTATATCGATCCTTACTGAAATCATAAACTTATCAAGTGGTAAAATAATCATTCGGACAACTTTTCACGGATAAGTTGTGTAACATCGACGGTTCATGCGTTGATAATTCAGATTTGAAAAATAGATCATCGTGAATAATTGCAAGATTAATTATTAATGTCCTCCACAACAAAATTAACTAAGCGTCAACAAAAAGCTATTGCTTTTCGAACAAATCGAGGAAAAAAGGTTAAATTAATCGCAGATAATGATGAGAAAAAGGATTTTATTGAAATCGATAGATTACTAGAAAAAAGTAAAAAGAGAAAGTATATAAAAGAGGAAGTTGAACTAAAAAAACATAAAATCAAAGGGCTTGAAAATCATACTGAGGATCAAGATACTGATGAATATGTTGACGTCAATGAAAAAATTCATGATATTGAAGAAATACGGAATTTAGATGAAAATGCTAAGTCAATAAAAGGACAAAATTGTGTAGGAGGAAATATAGCAAGCGGAATTGCACAAGATAATCAAGAAAAAAGTGAACCAAATAATGTTAAATTGAAAAAAAAATCGCCAAGATTTATTATATTTGTCGGTTTGTGTTATGTTATATATGTATTAATCTTTTACATTCTTTTTTTTTACGAATAATAAAATTCAAAATCTATTACCAAAAGCTAATTTACCATATAACACAAAAGGTGAAGAATTATCAAAGCATTTTGAATCTGCAGGTATGTTGAATACACGAAATTTCTAACTATCATTTATTTAATAAATTACCAACATTTTTTTATTTAATGCATCTAATTAGGTGTTCCTTTATCAATCCGCTTAATTACTGATAAAAATACAAAAAAACAAAAGGGATTTGCTTTTATAGAGTTTGATAATTCACAGTCTATGAAAAAAGCTTTGATATTTCATCACACAATTTTCAAGAAAAGACGGGTATATAAGCTAAAATTAAGGAGAATTGACTTTCTTATTATAAATTTACTGACTTTATATAATTTTCTTAGATAAGAGTTGAATTAACAGTTGGTGGCGGCGGTAATAAAAGCGAAATCCGTCGTAAAAAACTTGAAATAAAGAAAAAGCAATTAAAAGATGAAAGAGTTAGCATCTATTTTTTTTTTTATTTTTCATTTTATGTATTGACAGTTACTAATCCTTTTTTTAATCTTTTTTAAATTCATAGCACAGGTTTCATAAAACTTATATTGCGCCCGCAAAGTCTAAATGTCCCCAAGTTGTTGATCAAAATGAATCAGCTCAAATGTTAAAAGTCACTTCCCAGCCTGATCGTAAGGTACAAACTAAAATTAAAAAGCCAAAGTTAAAGGGTTCAAATGCTATTAAGCTTAATAATGTTAGAACCTTTGGATGATACAGTCCTTTAATGCAGTTTCTATTATTAACGTTACATAAAAATAGTGGTCTATTTTTGTAATAAATTTATATTCTTTTCACTCACATCTAAGTGATTAAAATAACCTACTTTAATTATACTCAAATGATTATATTATAATTATTTAAATCTCGATTTAAGGATTTTCTAAATGGTTATAAATTCTGTTCTAATGTCAACAAATAAAAACCAAAGTTTATTAAATCAGAATGCTAATCATCTAGACCCATCTATATTAAACCACGTTTTTTCATCCTTACACACAGACTTGGCATATAAATTTCTGCAAATGAAGATAAGTAATACTATCATAAAAAAGAAATTAGTTAAATGAATAAATTAATAATACTCATACGGAATTAAATACTCACTTCGTGTTCTGAGTTATGTGGTCCAACGAAATTGTGTGCCAATTCGTGACAAAATGTCATAAACCAATAAAATATAGTGTCAACAGATGGCCTACTAGATTCGATCTCGTCATGTAATCCAAGATAGAATCGAAAGTTGAAGAATAAAGCCTTCCCGCGATTGAAAGCAATTGAATTCGATGTAATATCATAAAATATATGAATTGCATTTGGGAGAATTGCAAAGACTTCACCAAGATCCTTGAGGATATTGATAAATCGTGTTAATGCTGGTGTTTTAAATATTTCTGAATGGTCCAAATTTTTTTCGATGTAAAGTTCAATTCCATCATTGGTGCCCACAAAGTCGAGCGAATGCCCTGTTTTCATTGATAAAAATTGATATGTTTATCTAGAGTGTCTTGAGAATGTGAGAATGACTAATAGAAAAAGCAAATACCTGATAACACGTCACAGTAACTTGTTTGACTCTCAGTAACAACATTAACTCCCCCTTGATTATTCACTGAAGCTCCAGAATTAGGACGACAAGACTTAATAGCGTCTTTTAGTGCATTACGAAGATTCTGGGTAGATTGTGGCGTAACTTTAGTAGATTGTGTAGACTGTGTTTTTTGTGGTTGCTTCTGAGCAGATGTTGGTTTCGGTGATTCACCACTAGTCGATGTAGAACTTGTTGGAAGAAGATCAGACAAAGAAGACAAAGACTTAAAGATACTCCCGCCCCAGCCGGATTTTTTTGTCCCCAGCATATCATCCTCGTGGTTGGAAATTCCGTTAGGTTTGGGTGTAGGTTCAATTTCTGGATAATTCGCTTCCGCCAATTTGTTAGCAACTTTCTGTAAATGGTCGGTTTTTTCTTGAGCTAAACATTGACGAATATAATTTGGATCACATTTTGGAAACATTTCCTGCAACTGAACTGCATATTCTTCGATCTCTGGTGTAAGTTTTACAGGAGAAACATTATGACTCGAATTAGACATAGCCTGCGGTTGGACTTCAGGAATTATAGGAGCTTTTGGAGTCTCGTATTTCTCGGCAACACGTATCGGTTTTTTATAACTTAACATGATACGGTCAACTGGATATCCTTTACGCTTTAAACTATCTAATGGCGTGGTCAACAACATCGCTAAATGAGAGATATCTTTCCATTTGCACTTCTTGAAAATATGTCTTCCAAGGTTCGATGCAATATCGAGATAGTCCGGTTCTCCAGGAGTGACATATAAGGTCCATGAATTATTAACTCGTGTATCTTTATGAATACACGAATATATTGGTTCAACTTTTATTTGATTATTAGTTATAAGCTCATAGGTAGCCTCAATCTGACTGGTCTCCATTACTTTTAACTTTTGAACCCAATCAACTGACTGCTTAACATCAGATCGATGAATGTCATGGTAGAATAATTGTGCTCTTTCTCTGATTGTTTTTTGCAGTCTCGCGGAACCTGTAGAAGATATCGGATTACCTTTTACTTGTACGCTCGCCTTAACACTTGCAAACAACGAACGACTTCCTAACATCTTCATTAAAAAAAAAAAAAAGCAAAAAGCTGTTTTCAATAAAATTTCAATTAAACTAATGCATTATAATCATAATCATACCTTATAAAAATTTTCCAAAATCTCTTCCATAGGTGCAGTCAGAGGGTTGAAAACATGCTGAAAATTTGTGTCATCATTTATGAAAATATCTTTTGCAGGAGCCAAAATATAATGATCAATATCCTGGTCTTTATCAAACTTTTCTTTGTCTGCCTCTATTTCATTCCTTTTTATGCCAATGAGTATAGGGGCACGACTCATATCGGCTAATAACGACCTATTTCTAGAAATAGAATTTAAATTGACCGCAAGATTACGAAGGACGGTAAGATATTTCTCCACATTATCGCCAACAGAATTCCAAAATTCGTGTGAAGATTTTACTAAGAATTCTGCAAATTCTGTCGGAGATGGTTCAGTCTTAACACCGCAGCTAAGCAAAAATTTATTTGCTTTTTCTCCAAAATCTACATATGAAAAGAATTCAGCATAGCTGTAATTCGTAGTTAAATTATTAGCAAAATTATATCAAGACTATGGCATGTTTTTTTTGGAATATAAATAATAAAAGAACTCACGCTTCATCATGAACTTTGAAAAAACAACTTCTCGGCGTGACATATTTTATCAAGCTAGTTTGAGTCTTGTCTCTGATCGGAATAAAATTAAGATCTCTAAGCCTGGACCAATCTGTTTGATTAAAATCGCCCAAACGAGATGCCAAATAACCAAATATCTCTTTAGCCCTTTGCTCGTTTTCAGGTGGATTTTGAATCAATCTATTCAATAGTTGCTCACGGCTCGGATGCTGCCGAATACCTAATTCATCAGCACGAAAGCGTAAATCTGGGTGCATTGAGTTAAAATTCATTATTGTACATTCTTGACTGGAGAAACAACCCATTGGTGTCGAATATATCTTGGGGTCGGTACATGGCAAAAATGACACTTTTATTTCCTCAGCTTTATACACAGAAGAGTATTTATCTTTAAAATTATCCATAAAATATTTTAAAGCTTTGCTTCTTAATGCTGCATCTGAATTAGAGACATCAGCAAGTTGGAGAATAATATTAAGAGGTGGACATTCTCGCAGACCCAATGAAAAAAGAAATTTTGCTAAAAGTAAAAATGAGTTAAGCAATCATTTAAAATATTTAAAAAAATAATAAAGCATAATTAAATACCTTCTTCGGAATTTTTTCGCCATTTACCATTCCATTCGATTAGAGGCAACCCGAATTCTCTCATTTCCGCCGATGGTGCATATAAATCACTTGCTAAAAACCTATGAACTCTCGGCTTAGCCTTAATCTCATCGCCATCAGTCTTTGCCAGTGAAAGTTCAGGTTTCGTGTTTTGTTCTTCTGGCCAAATCGCAGTAACTTTCAGCCTTTTCAACTCAATTTCTTTGAGGTTATTAGATACTGAAGCAAGATATTTGACAAGTTGCATATGGTCCCAATTTCCTTGACTAACTAGACGATCGAAAATGAGTTGCAATTCTACATGCTATTCATAAAATTCATTATGTTCATTAGATGGGTACATAAAAAATTTTTTAACTTCAGAAGAGGATTAATTCTTACTTTCCGAACTCCCAATTTTTGTAATAGTTTTTCAACGATTTTAACATTCTGGAAGTTAATAATTGGCAGATCCGGGAAAAGGTCCACATTTGGGAAATATGCATCGTCTGGTATTTTTAATCCGTGTTTTGTAGGAATACATTTTTTTTCAACAAGCAACTGTTTGATAGTATTTTGGTCGTTTGATGAGCATTTCTGAAAACTTCTTGCAATTATTCCCAGAACCTTTTCCGCGAAGTCAGGATCATTTTCCAATTGGGGTTTAGTTGTGATGTATTGTGTCCAGGTAACAAGTGAAAGTTCTTTCCACCCACTAAAGTATAAATAAATAAATAAATAGCCAGTAAGAACGAAAATATGCGCATTAAGATGCCAAACACCAATAAATAAATTATATATATTTTTACCCAAACCATTTCTCGATATCATTTTTTTGAAATGATTTGCTTATTGAATAAGGCAATACATTAGATGGGACCTCATAATCTGGTGGAACTACAGAAGGATTTAACCAGTACTGAATTTTATTCAATGGTATCACATTGTCGTTAATACAAACTACAGCAAGTTTTAATAATTGCTGAACATCCGATTCAGAAACTTGATGATTTTCTTTGGATCGATAATTTATCCACCACTTCATTAATGCCACAGTGTCCTCTTGTGAAAGGGTACGACTTTGTAATTCATTAAAGACATCGCTTAGTGAAATGTCTTTAATTATATTCATCTTATTTTTTGCTTTTTTGATAAAAATATCACATTGTTCCATGACAATTTTGGGAACTGTAGGAATAGTTTTAATGAAAGCTGCCATTTCGGAGTTAGGCATTCGTACTAAGTTAATTGGTTGAACTCCAGTAGTTGATATAATAGACAAGGGCTGAGAAGCACAATTTAAAAATTGAAATTCAATAATTTGGCCAACATGCGGATTAGGAGTGCTAGGTTTAAATGTAAAGTGTGAAAGTGCATGTGCAGCTCGTTTTTCAAGCCACTCACGCGCTGAATTTGTAGCTTCATCTGTTTTTACGTTCGAGCCAACAATTTCTCTATAAACTTTAGATACTTGACTCATTTCGTCTTCGTACAAAATTCTTGACAGAATTCCAGCAAGACATAACATTTCGTTGTTATAAACAGCAAGAGTTTTATCGATTAAGTCAATAGACTCACGCTCAACCTATCAAGATTAAAAATAAAATTTAGAATAGGTACAACTTTGGTATAATAGGATATACGTCAATAACGAATACTTACTGTTGGAATTAAGCGAGCCGCCAAGTGAGAACTACACCCAGTCGTCTGATGTGTAGGAAACCCAATAAAAATTCTACCTTGTTCAGGAAATGGCAACAAATTTTTAAATATTCCAGATATTTTTTTGTTTTTATCTTCAGAAAAATACTGCTCGTCATATCCAGTAAATATCATCTGAATAATAGTTTGACTTGGTGGTTTCTTTTTTGTTGTACGTTCCATATCTGCCGAGAATGCTCTAGATACTCGTACATCTAAATGGCCACTAGCTACTCGAAGAAATATGGATGTTTCTTCTGTTGAATAGTCACTCAGTGACGATCTAGTCAGGGAAAATTTTGAAGGAATGATTATCCTTTCGACATCCAATTGCACGTTCCGTACGTCAACAGATTTTAAATTAAACATTCTTTCTGGCGATGTCGTATTTAAGCCAGAGAATATAGTCATAGTCCTCGGGTCAGACATTTTTTTAGCGATACGTATAATCCTCTTATCATTGAAATATACAGATACTTCGCGAAGATTACCCGTGAAACCCTATAAATGGTGTACCATAATTTGTAAATCATTCACATATATATAGGCAAATGCACAAGCAAGCATCAAAATTTAAGATGTAGAGATCTTTTACCAATGATGTAGCCAAAAATCGACCAAAATCTTCAGCGTTAGGAAACTAGCATAAAGAAAATCTTATTTATACATTAAAACCAAGCCAAAACAGTAATCAAAAGAAATCATAATATATACCTCCGCATGATCTCTCATATCCATAAGAAAAGTTGTCCACGTCTGATCATCTTGACTAATGGCAGCTCGTTTGGCGAATAGTTGATCCCCTTTCCAATAAAATGCCATGCCTTGACCTCCTGAAGATACACTATTATAATTAAAAAGTTAAAATTAAACAATATAGAAAAAAAACATTTACGCCAATTATGTGCGACAATACTTGCAATGGCTCTTCACAAACGGAAAACAATGAATAGAACCCAACTCCAAAAGCACCGATCTATTTAATGACATCAGAAGTGTATGGTTATATTGGTTAGATCTATGGGAATGAACAATAATAATGCACATATGATAATTTTTGTAAAAATATTTGCTAGAACCTTTTGTTCATCAGGATTCCCTTCAGCAATTTTCTTTAATCGACTCCAATCTTCAGGACGAAACACAAAGCCATTATTTTTAAATAATATTCTTACACATTTGTCTTTTAATATATTAGATTTATCTGCACTTTTGTTCTGAGTTTCATATATAATTTCTACACTAGAAGACTTTGCATCGTCTAGAATAATAAAATAAATGGTTTGGTATTCGAATTTCGTATTCTTCTAGAATATCTAGATACTGACATCATTATTATACCTGCATTTTGCATTAGCTCTCGAAATACCACAAATTCTGCTGAATACCTGCAATAGCATTTTAAAAAATTTCTTAATAAACTTTGATAAACTTGAATCACGTGTATTTAAATCGATAATGTAAGCACCTCGCCAAGATCTTATCAATTAAGTGCCTTTGATTAACCTCAACCCGCTCTTCACCAGCAGTGTGAGAAAGAACTTGTTTACGAAGCTCATCCATGGCTGAGATACGCACAGGCCGAAATTTTTAAAGGGAAAGTTTAATTTTATAGTAAAAAAATTTTTTTCGACCAAATTGAATGTTTGGGTGTATTTATACTTTCGCTTGTATGTTATATTTAGATTGTTACATTTCGTAAGATTCGATCACGTGAAAAACGCGTATTTGTTTGTTCACCATATCGATATCTAAACTGCATTACTCATCGTTACTTATCGGTGAGACAAAATGTGTTGAATTTTCTAGAACCACACGCAAGCCAATTACATGTACAAACTTTATGCTCTTACATAAGAACAAAAATGCACGCAGTTCCGCAGTTACAGAATATAAAAGAACAATGGAATTATATTGCCTAGCCAAATAAAGACTTTTTATTTTATAATATATTTTGATTATATTAGGATAACAATGGACTTAAAATTTTTTCGAGAAGTTCACATACGTAAGCTTCCGTTGTATCATTTTCTACTAGTCCACCAGTGAGTATAGTCATGAAGATGGTGAACGCACATATACCATATAACTGCGAGAATTTTTATAATAAAAAATTGTAATTTTTAATTTAAGAAAGCATTTAAAGTTTTAATGAAACATCGTCTGAAGATTAGACATGAATATAGGAATATGAGTGTTATATTTTTAATCATATGGGTTAACCCCAAAATCAGTCAATCATAATGAAATAACATTGTTTAAATTTTATATACACGATCTTTTAAACTTAAAACTTACTTTGAGTCTATAAAAAGCCGTTTTCCTGAAAATTTGCTTTCGAATTTTCCCTTACTCATTATTCAACCGATCGTTTCAACGACCGAACCGATCGTTCACTACCCGTAAATACCCGAACATTTCAACAAACAATGATAGGCTTTCATTATGATCTAATTTTTGTAGATCATTTGGGCAGCCGTCAATAGAAAAAAAAAATTTACCTTAACTTTCTTAACCCATAGCTCGATGGATTTTGATGCTATCTTGATGATTTAATAGTCAAAAGAAAGCTTACGCCTTATGCTTTCTTTTGAATATTTAATCATCAAGATAAAATCAAAATCCATCGAGATATGGATTATGAAAGTTGAGGTAATTTTTTTTTCAAATGTCAATCTGCCATTTCTATTGATGGCTGCCTATTTCATGCCGTGATCTTGGAATTCGTCCAATCAGAGATCATAAATTTTAACTATTGATTTTAATTAAAATAATCAAATTTATTTTTTAAAAAATTGTGATTTTTTTGAATTGTTTTTTATTTTTTAGAAATTGAATTGTAATTTTTTATTTTTTGCTTTTGTTAAGGTTGATGTTACAGTGGCTACCGTCTTTATTTGTGTTTTAGTTAAGGCATTACATATAACAGTGGCTACTGTCTTTATTTGTGTTTTAGTTAAGGCATTACATATAACTTGTACAAGGTGAGTTTGCAACTAGTCGCATATGCAATTTTTAGTTACCTATTTAAATAGTCTGCTTACAGGTTCTATACTAGTTGTCATATTTATAATTTATTAGAAAATTACTTATTTAAACATTCTGATTCTTATACTATATTCAAACAAGTAATTACCTAGTTTTTGTACATCTAAGTGTCATTTTTCAAGCAAGTAATCATCTAATTCCTATATATCTAAGTTTGTCTGATCTAACATTTAGTTTCTTTTTTTATACATCTATTAGATTATTACATATTTTAATACATGTTATTTAATTGTAGAATTCAAGATGTTTTTTTATTAACTAATTTATTTATTTTATAAATTATTAACAAGATTAGTTTTTATAAAGTTTATTTAAATTTTAACATTTATTTTATAATATATTCTTAGTATTTTTAAAGGTAAATGGTAGTATTTTAAAATTATATATAAACTTAATAATAAATTTTTTTATTTTATTTTTTTTTTTTTTAGTATTAAGGTGACCTCTTTGGTCTTTTGACTTTTATTAATCACTTATCGGTATTGTGGTTCAATAAACCACTACAGGAGAGCATACAATTGGCTATACATGTAACTTTTTTATATTACCTATTTAAGGAGTCTGCCTGAAGGTTTCTTACCAATTGCTATATCTAACACTCCTGATTGGGTGTTTTACTTTAAACCCTCTGAACCTGTAACCTGTGTTAACATCACTGAGTTATTCCAGATGCCCAGATTATCATCTCAACCTTAGGACTAATTTATCCTCAAGGTAAACCCCCAGAGCCTTTTGTACCTATTTTTACAGCTGACCTAGGTATTGCTATGGCAAAACCAACACTTGCGATCAGGGCTGACCATTAAACCATTATGCTCTTGTAGAGTTTACAAAAATCCCAGCATCTACTTCATAGCATATTTGAAATACTTTAGTATACTGCTACCAGTTTACCAAACTCCCAATCCAAATAACCTGATAGGACTTATGACTGATCCATTAGTATATCAGGTCAGCCCGATATCCTTTTCCTTCAGCTTGATCTGGCAGCCTGGTTGGTGGTACTTTCTACCTAGAGGTTTTTGCCTGTTCAGCTACTTTGACCTTGGTATCCATTTCATAAAGCTAGCCTTTACAGTAGAGCCATCGAAGATCTGGTTACCTCTCTACTTAGGTCTTCCCAAATGGACTTCTTGTTACCTAATTTTATTAGATTTATACGGCCACAAGAACTTATCATGTTTGTACCACTTAATTGCCAGTTTGCATTTCTTCATGTAATCACAACCTTGTTCCAAAGGACAATGTCATGTGACCCATTACATGAATGCCCCATGACCTACTAGTTATGCTGATGTGACCACTATTACAGGTATTCTAACCCAATTGTTAGTAACAGTTGCCATAATATGAATATTATATAGGTAATTATTTAAATTTTCGCTGTCGATGGAATTTGAACACCCAACCTACCATTTGGAGGGTTAACAATCTGACTACTTCACTAGGTCGCCACACTCTTAGGTAGGTTCCATATTGTAAAACAATTATATGAATTTATTTTATTTTCTGTCATAAACAAGTTCTTTTTCTTCCTATATTCTTCTCTTTTTGGTTGCCTTTTGTTTGTTTGTTTCTCTTTCTTGTTGTTGTTTTTAACTTGTTGTTCAAGTTTTGCTTCTTTGTTCCTCTCTTTTTCTGGAATGAGCTTAAGCTATTCATCTTCTTTTTCTTAAATTTTGTCCATCACTGCATCTTGACTATGTTTGCAATCAAAGTTTATTTCTACCCAGTTGTTTTCATTCTTAAAAACTTCTTTAATTGTCTTAATATAATAGTTTTTACTCAGAATTCATTGTATATCTTTTATTCTTTCATAGCTTATTTCTCCAGACAAGATGTATGCAGACATGTTTGTTTTGAAAGACATGTTCTTATTACATACTTTATTTTATAATAACTATTGGCTATATTCAATTGTGTCGATAAAGATTAGATCTTCATATGTTATGTTTTCTTCTTTTAATTCTATTATTTTTTTGTTAATGTTTTCTATATTTTTTCTAACATCTTGGATAATGCTATCTCTTGAAGCTTCTGTGTCATTTTTTATCTTTTTTTTTCTTGTTTCTTTTGCTTCATTTGATTCATTTGTAAGAGTTTGGTTTGTGCTTAATAAAAAACTTCTTTGTTGCATATTATGTAGTGTATTAATATTAAGCTCTTCTATTTGGCTAATGATTTCATTTATTGTTTGGATTAGTTTTCCTTGTAGTATTTGTTCCTTACTAAATCTTGATGTCTTTTTTTTGTTATTGACATTTGCATCTTTTCCATGCTGTTTAGTTTCTTTATTTCTTTCATTTTTCTCTCTTCTTTAAGTATTTCTTCTTTACTTATGTTTGTAATATATTTAACTGACTTTGGGTTCTAATTCAACAGCCTAAGTTTTTGTGCCCATTTATTTATTATATCTTTTTCGAACCAGCTTAATTCTGCTAAACTCAAGGCTTTAAGAATTTGTTTATAAAGTAGTACATCACTTAGTGTAATATGGTTTGGGTTGTTTATTGCTAGGTCTTTTGCTATATGCTCTAAATTGCTTGTTTTTTTTGCAGGCATTGTTAGAATTTGATTCAATAATTCAGAATTTAAATATTTTTAATTTTCATCACCTGCCTCTTAATGTAGTACATAATGTTTGTGTCAATAGCCTAATCTATTTGATTTATTTATTGAGTTTCTATCTTGTATGATTTTCTCTTTGAGTTGTCTATATGCAACTTGTGTTATACTACTATTTACTAATAGCTTATTTATCTATTTTCTAATTAGAAATATAACTTGTTGTTTGTTATTTGTTGTTGTTGTTTAGTCAGTCATATGTTTTCTTTCTGTTTTTCAGAGTCAATCATGATTTTCCAAACTTTTGAATTTTATATTAAAAAAAAGAAAAATTTTTCTAAAAGCAAGTTTAGTTTGTTAGAAATATCTTTTTATTGTTATATTTTTTATTTTTTATTTTTTTTTAATCTTAAGCATCATGCTAGTACTTTATTAAGATTCTTGAAATTACTTTTGCAATTATATAGATTTACCTAACCACTAAGTCTAGCATCATCTGGCCACCTATAGGATACCTAAGTGCAACTTGCTACACTACTTCCAACAGAAGTAGGCTACTTGTCTGACTACTTAAAGTCTGTAGTAAAAGGGTCTTCTTCCTTTCATGACAAGCCCTAATATTGTTTTCCTAGTTTCTTTGTTAATTCTATCTTTTTCTCTTTTGCTTATTTCTTTTCTTCTTCAATCTTTTGCTAATTTGCCTTTCCTTTCTTTTTTGAATTCTTCTTTTTTTCTTCCTTTTTCTTTATTTTAGTTGTTATGCCTTCTTTCTTCTTCTATTCATTGATTTTTTTACACCATATCCTCCAGACTTGTTCATAGAACATGTTTCATGCTGTCTTTGCTACTGTTTCTATAAACTTCTATCTTGCTTTTGTATTTAGAAGCTGTGTTAGTCTGTCTTGTGTTTTTTTCAGAATCAGGCCTTTGATTAACACTTCTCTTATCTC